ACTCAGGGACACCAGAGAGGTTAAGCACATCAACTAGTGTCACATTTTTTCACATTCTCATTTGGGGTTGTGGTGATCACAAAAATGCATAAATCCAAGAAGCCTGATTCAGAACCATGGAGGTGCGACAAGGAATCTCTCCAATCCATAGGTAGCTACGGATTTCTCTTGTGCCTGTCTCATCCCTTCACTCAAATAAAGACAAGAGTGGGGGACCCAGCCAGAAGGTCTCATGGAATGTATTCTGGGGTCAGCCAGGCAGAAAGTCTTATCACTATGCCCCAAATGAAAACCCCCCAATAGAAATGGGATCCTAGGAAATGTAGTGATAAAAATGCACATGCACACAGTCCTAAACATCACCACCTAGCTAATATTTAGTTCAGGATAGCCTCATCAAATCGGCATGATTTATTCCAAAACCATTCTAGAGCACTCTGTACTGGTGAGAGTGTTCTACGTGAGCTCCGTTACTTGTGGCAACTGAATATCTAGAATGTGGGGACTGAGATGAAGGCACAGAATTTAAAAAATATTTCATTTCAATTCATTAAAATGCAACTTTAAATAGTCACACGTGTGGCTCCTGTTCCAGAGTGCCAAGCTCCGAGGACAGCAGCCATCATAAGGTTATGAGCATCCTGTTACTTGTCCCCCTCTTCTCTGGGTAGGAGAGTGAAGAGGCAGACAAGAGCAGTTGGGGTGCTTGAGTCAGAATAGAAAACCATGCTCTATGTTTATCTGTCCCAAATTCAAACTGTGTTTTGTTGACAAAATTTGGGAAAGGTGAGTTGCTGGCAGGCGAGGCTGTCTCTTGGCATGCATGAATGTGTCAGCACCTCATTAATCTTGTATTAGACTGGACAGACCCTTCTCCCTCCCACTATGGGCTGATTTTTTAAAGGACACTTCAGTATTCCCTTTGTATCTTAGAGTTAGATTCCCCCACCCTGCCCCCCGCTTTTTAATTTATAAGCCGCTCTGTGACTTGATTTCAACATGCATTTTATTTAGATATAGCCTGGTTAATTCCAGTTTGGAATGGGATGAATGATTTAGGGGTAAGGAGATACATTATGTTATGAGTGTCTGCGGAACACACCAGCTGACATCCAGTTGACTCTGACTCCTGGCAGCCGCAGTGTGTTTCAAGGCAGAACTGTGCTCCATAGGGCTTTGGGGCGGTGGGGGTGGGGGGCGGGTGGGGGTGGAGGTGAACTGCCAGGCCTGTACCTTTCAACCTTTTGATTAGCATCCAAACATGTCAAATGCATAACTCGAGGTCTCTTTGGGGACTATACTAGGATAAGTCACAAAGTACTGTTACAAAATCATAGCAACCTTTATTCAACAAAAAATATGAAAAGATGAAGCTATTCTTTCTTGCCATAGCCTCCATCTAGGTCTAAGCACTTGTGAAGGTGGTATTTCCGTTTCTCTAACTTTTCCCAGTGGAGCCCTGGTGACACTGCCCAGTAGGCTCTGGGCTGCTCATCAAAAGGCTGCTGGTCCCTGGGTGAAAGAGGAGGCTCTCTACTCCTGTAAAGACAGACAGCCTCAGAAACCTGGAGAGAGTCACAGTGGGTTGGAATTGGCCCCAGGGCAGTGGGTAGAGGTAGTCAACATTTTCTGAAATATTCTGCATTTTTTTCCATTTGCAACATGTCTACATGGCAAATTGGGCATCCTCAAAGACCTCAAATGGGGTTTTTCTTCTAAATGTTCCTTTTTGGGGAATGAAATGAAGTCTGAAGGGACAAGATCAGGATGGAGTAAGGTATCCCAATGAAATTTTCTTTTCCTAGGACAACTTGCTATCCCTGAAAAGTAAGCGGGTAACAGTGTCAGGATGGGGGTGGGGTGGGGTGGGGAATCCTTGGCACAACTTTCCTGGCCTTTTCTTATAATGTAGTTTTCCATTTTTTAAAAAGTGATTCATAACAAAGTTTAATTGTTGTCCTGAGTCGTTTGTGTGGGGGAAATGATCCCGATGGCCCTTTGGAATATAAAAAAACCATCGTCATAACCTTCTGAGCTGTCTCTCAACCTTCTCCATGAACCAGTCTTTCAGTGGGGCAACATTTCTCTAGATTTGTTGCAAGGTCTCCATGAGTTGGGAAGATGTCTACTTGAATTTTGTTAAAAATTTGATATTAGCTCTGATCTCAAAATCGTTTTTATCCCCTGCACAGAAAATATCCCATTTTTTTAAGTCCCCCTAACAAGATAAAGACAGTGTATTCTGAGCAGACCCGTCTGCTGCCATCCACTGATCACAAAGACACGTTGAAACATGTTTTCTGTAGGGAGAAAAGCCGCACATGTGGGACCTGGAACCCTACTAACAAGGCTCTTCGATGCATCTTCCTGTTAGGGTTTTAGTTTCTAGAAATTGTGGGAATACTATTGCCTAGTATTATGAATTCTCAGGTTATGATCCATCTTTCAATTAAATGACTTATCACACACGTGACTCTGGGATTCTTCTCTTGTCAAAAAAGAAAACAAATGCATGGAGTATAGTTGTTTCCTTTAACCATTTTTGACATTTTTGTTCAATGCAGAAATTAGATGAGAATGTCTTTTACAGATACCATTTTAAGCTTTAAGAGCCTGTAACACTGTGTCTTACAGGTGCATGGTGAATTGACATTGCTTAAAAAAAAATCTTTTTTTTTGAAAGACAGGCGTCTAGAATAACCACTTTCTGTATTTCCTGACACTGGAAACAGATACCGCTTGGGATTCCTTTTATAGTTTCTTCAACTAACGTCTCCAGTGACCACTCAGTTGTGGTCTCGTAGTAAATCAAAATTTCTTTGAAAGATCCAGTGCTGTTATATAATTATAAATGTTCTAGAAAGCCATCTCCCTAACTTAAAAGTAAAGTTCATTTCTGTTTCCTTCCATAACAGGGATTCTGCCGTTGCACATACTAGTTTGTGAAAAATAAAGAATAGGCAATTTTCTTTTCCCCCTCCCTTCTCCCCTCCTCCATCTCCTCCTCCCGATTCTTTTAAATTAACCTACAATTGATGAGGCATACAAATCAGCTTCAGGCTGTGTGAGACCTGGTTGGTCAAACGTGAATGGAGAGAGAAACCACTTAGCAAAGTGCCATTTCGAACTTTCCCCTCCTCGGGGGAATGCCTTGTTCTAACTGGGATTTTGGGCTTCAAAGTGGCTAAAGAGATTACTCTGGGTCCCCAAATGGACTCTCTTGCCATCATTTACTTTGCATTTTAATAATTAGAGTTTAAAAGGAAAATAGCTTCACGAACAATATTGTGAGCATTGAAGACAATGAATGGGTCGCCATCTTTAAGGCATGAGAAGTGGAATTCACCATAGTTTTTCAGGATGCATTTGGGTCAAAGAGGGGGAGGTAAGACCACTTTCAAGTGTGGCTACTGTGGGTTGGGTTGGGGGGTAGTCTCTGAAGAAGAAGCGTGTGTTGCCCAACAGGCCTGATAATATGCAGTCAGAGGCCAAATCCCAGAACTTTCTCTTTGGCCCCATTTTGATGATGAAAAGGCAGCATTGCACAAGCCTCGAAGAGCCGGGCCCCCTTTGGCCAACTTGGAGAACAGGCTTCCTTAGAGGCTAAGGCCTCAGCGTGTGCCAACCCTTGTAAAGCATTTCACCTCTTCAGAGGCTAATGCCTCTCAAAACCAAGAACAATTAAAGCGAGAATCTTTCCAAGCGACGAGGGAATTGAGCAAAATAAATCAGAACTCCTCAGCCTTGGCTCTGGAGGTTCGCCTCATTATGAGAGCACATCTATTAGCCCTGGTGCCATTGTCTTTCATTTCTCAAGTGAGGTGATTCTAATTAAATTAATCTGCATGTCAATCTATCAGTGATCAATCAAAGAGCCCGAGGTCCCCCCTATACTGCAGGGTGCTTGTGGCTGACAGGGGCTGATAATGGAGGAAGAAATAAACTGTCGAGCAAAGTTAATTAGTCAACATAATAGGTGGATTAAACAGGAGCTGGCTGATTGCTGTTTCCTGTGTCAAAGCATGCGGTAGGAGCTGAAGCTGCAATTACAGACAATTATTATATTTGGTTGTAAGAGGTCGCATGAATAAACATATCTCTGTGGGTTTCAGTTTTAATCCCCTTCCCCATTTCATATAAGGAGAAGTGTAGGTCATTTCTTCTCATTGTTTTAGTCAAAGTTCTCTGAGCCAACACCTTTGCCTGCATCGCTTCTGGTAAGCCAGGCTTGGAGTCGGCATCGGAGATGGCCGGCTGTGTGGAAGGTTGCCTGGGCCAGTGTCACCATTTTTGGGGTTAGCTTTGAAATGTAGATCGAAGCCACTTAAAGCAGGGAGTTTTCTTCTTTTGGAGGGTGGTGGTGGTCTTCATGGTAGCGGGGTGGGGGGGTGGGGGGTTGCGGGGTGTGTGTGTGTTTGATTAGTCAAAGCTGAAGTGGCAGTCAAAAAGGACCAGACACCTGAGAAAGGCACCCGAGAGAAAAGCCGCGTGCCAGCGTGCCAGCTCTCGTGGCAGGCCACCTCACATTTGCTTTCTTTATTCTCTTAACCCTGACACAGTGTGGGGAAGGGGCAAGGGAAGGGAAAGGAGGGGGGATATTTTAAAGATTCAAAAGATTTTGATTTGCATGATCAACTGTGATATCTACTTCAGTGTCTAAACTGAAGGGTAATTTAGGTGAAACACAACCACCCTTGTGTAAAAAAATATATATATGCTAATAAAGATCCTCTTGTTAAAATTATGGTTAACAGTGTACCTTCTGCTGTATAACTATAAACTGTGCAATTTTACTTAAAACGGCATCAAAAGCGTTCCGTGCCAAAGACTCACTCATCAATAGCTTCTCTTGTTAGACTTGTACAGCATAAGCACCAGTTATTATGTGAAATAGCTATGCAATTTTCTTCAGCTCCCAGCTGTTATTTATTTAACTTGAGTTTATTACCCTCCATGCTTTTATATTAAAATGTTCATTCATTTTTCTCTTACGTCTCCAGGTCGTGGTGTCTACAACAGTCAACGTGGATGGCCATGTCCTGGCAGTCTCCGATAACATGTTTGTGCATAACAACTCCAAGCATGGGCGGAGGGCTCGGAGGCTTGACCCCTCGGAAGGTACGCCCTCTTATCTGGAACATGGTAGGCGAATCATTTTCATTGGTTGGCATTGCTACTTTAATTGTGAATGTATTTGGTTTCTTTCTTCTAACTCCACCCCCATTTTCTATTCTGTTTCAAATCCCAAATATATTTTTTGAATAATGTTGCTTTTCTCTTGTGTTTACTCTTTGAAATATGATGGTTAGTGTTTAGAGACTGGGACATCTCTTTGAGCCCTCTGCTCTCATACTGCATGACTGCTTACCCAGCGACCGACAGACATCTTTTTTACAGGTTTAGAGAATGAGACTGGGGGCCACTATGTCAAAGCTCTCGACCAAAAAGTAAAGTTGAGTAATCAGAAGTGTGATCCATGCTAGGAATTTACAATAACCATTAGCGTTTCATGATGAACTCTATCTTCTTTGTAACCCCGTTGTTGTATCTCTAAAACCGTCTAATTTTACTTGGAGAGGTGGTCCAAAGTCTAGATTGGAGGTGTTTTCCCAACATGCAACTAGGCCAAATGTCCCTCCTGTACCCTTTTTAGAGCCCTTTCCTCATCAACACATGATAGAACCTGTTTTCTGTGGCTAGGCCTTGGTAGGGAGAAAAAATATTAGTTTTGAGATTCCTAGCACATCAGTGGTGCCCTTGAGAGAACTGGGAGAAACCAGCTAAAATTTTGAATCAAGGAAAGTGAACA